AGATAAAGGATGAAAGTAAGAAAGGCTGAGGTTAACTTTTCCCTATGAAATACAAGAGTTTAGTTTACCAAGGAAGAAAGAACCTTGTGTAAATTTTAAAGGATTAAATAAAATTCTGTTGAATTCTAAAATCATGAAGCAATAATTAAATTGGTAGTTTATTTACTTAAGACAGTTATTTTACTTAGGATAAAGGAACTCCCTAAAGTGTTTAAAATCCAAGCACATTAATACATACTCCAGCCTAAAAGCTTTGTTCTCAGCTATATGTAACATAAATAGCTGGCCAGGACAGAGCACATAATAGGTGTTTAATAAACACTAGCTGAATTAGTGAACTTCTCTTTATGGTTTCTAATCTATAAAACTGTGACAAAGTAATACTAAATGGTATGTAATAAAAACTGTATTTCAGCATCCAGTTAGTGTCTTTCTTCTAAAACATATTTGTGAAACCTAAAAGACAAATTTATGAAATACCATTATAATGTATTATTATCAGTGATCCATAATTGTGGCATAACTTATTAGATTTTAAAAACAGTTGATTTTTTAAAAAAATCATATTAAAACAAAAGCATTAGGAACTTTTGGGTTACATCCATAAGATAATACAGTTAACCATTTGCAGCAATATGGATGGACCTTGAGAACATTATGCTAAGTGAAATCAATCAGAAAAAGCTAAGAACTATATGATCTCACTCATATGTTGGATACAAAACTGAAACTCGAGAACACAGACAGCAGTGCGGTAACTGCCAGAGGGAAGTAGGTGGGGGAGAAGGGGGTTCTAACATGAGGTGACAGGGGAAGATCTGACTTTGGGTTATGGGCACACGGTACAATATACAGATCTTGGAACATAGAAACCCACACCTGAAACCTACATGTTCATGTTGACCAGTGTCACCCCAATCAATTTAATGAGTATTTATATGAAAAAGATAATAATTTTAATTGAAAATTAAAATCAACCTACTTTTGGGACCTAGGATATCACTAAACTATTTTGATCTGTAAGTGTTTAAACCATGTATTTGCTTATAAAGAAGATCTTATTTTCAGAAACCCGCTTCTCTCTGGAAGTTAGGCATAAGCAGATCCCAGGCAGCAATACCAATGAAGAAGGAGTTCAGTTTGCTTGGCTATGGGCGAAGAGCATGGCAGCATGAATAGCCAAGGTAATGTACAATGAGGTCAGGGTGTGTTTCATAACTCCCATGCATGATGCTAGGAAAATACAAATCACCGAAAATGAAAGCTTTGTTGCCTTTTAGGTTAAAAAAAACCTCAAGAATGATTTTTTTTTTTTTTTTTTACCTTTCAAAATGATTACTACTCCATCCCACAGCCACACGAACACTTTACTGGGCTAAAATCATTTGGCTAAAAGCATTCAATGGGCTTCCCTTGCCACTTTCTGATTTCAAGGTGTGTATCTATACAAGACTCTCCCTGGTTCTCCGACAGCCTGAACAGCCAGAATGGCTATCACCAGTGTTCCCAGCATCACACAGCACATCTGCCTGGAAGCGACTCTAGAATCACTATTGACTGAGATGCCATTTCTGGCGATGACTCAGATTGAACAATAACTGATTACAAGGAAAAATGCCTTTTGCAAGAGTCTCTAAAAACAAAGGCACAAAAGGAAAACTACACAAACAGAAAAGTCACAAAGAAATAAAGTTTTAAAGTTTTATTCCTCCCACTGACAAATTATTCTTTCATGGTAAAAATTCAGTTATTTTGTCCATATTTTATAACCCACATGAAAGTTAGGCACTTTTATAAAAGAAAGATGCATGTGACAAATGTGAAATAAGGTACTTTAGTTTTCAAACATCAGTTAGCTCTAATTTACATGCTGGATGGATTCAAAATTTTCATCGGCAAATCAGCTGCTTAGAAAGAACAAAAACCATCAACCTCTCACAGTACTTCACATTTCATAAAGCCTCTGTATCCCACCACATTGAATTCTTGCTCTGGTTCAGTAAAACATTCTCCCCACCCCAAACCCTCAGATTACTGGTGAGTGAACCCTCAGGGCCAGAGCACTCTGTGAAATGCCCAGATCTCCCAGGTAGAAGGAGTCTCAGTAGGACCAGAACCCGGTGTCGCCATCTCTGGGGATTCTGTGGAAGGTTCTGAGGGATGGGCTGAGGTGGGGAAGCACCTCTGAGTTAGGGAGCAGGGTGTGAGGAGAAGAGCTAGAGCTCCTGCTCTCTGAAGACAGGATCCTGGGCTGGTCCAACGCCCTGGGCCCCTAGATCCTTCTCTCTATTCCTTTGTTCTGCCACAGGCCCCACAGATTATCTGTTCTCATCCCTTTCCAATGATGATGGCAAATACTTCTGACC